AAAATAAAAACTTTAATAATCGCTGATTTGCATACGCTTGTATTAATGGACCATAATCTGTCATACTAATGATTCTTTTCTGTGCAAACATAGAGTACATTTATAATAATATTGTACTACTAATATTGGTACTTACATAAATTGGGGCAATTATTAGTGTAGTATTAAAATTATTCCCGTTCATTTTTTTAGCTAAATGTGGAACAAGTCATTATATTTTATATTAATCAAGCTGGTAACTGTAGTATTTATAAATGTTTTTCTCCATTTATTTTGTAAAAATGGGTATTTATATCAAATAATATTATTTTATTTATATAATTTATAGCAAATCCACAAGCCAAATGGTAGTTAATAGTATGTGGTGTGTCATATTGTTCCAATCTTTTAAGCTAGTAACGATGCATTGTATTGCGTCTTTAAATATGCAAAATGCTTCTTGGATTATGAAGAAATGATAAATTAAATATGTTTCCCATGTAAAATTAATAATAAATTAACAAACATTAAATATATACATATTGTTACAATTAATTTAATTTTTGATAACATTATCAGCTGGCTAATATGAGGTATCATTAGGTCATCCAATTATCAAAAATATTTCAATCTAATATGTTTAGACTTGTTTCTATTTTTTTACGTGTGGCATGTTTATCAATTATAAAATTTCAATGACGACAACGATTATACGTTTTCATCATAAGAAAGTTAACTATTTTCTTAATTTCAACGTTGTCAATAAACAATAGCCATTAGACTTGTTTCTATTTTTTTACGTGTGGCATGTTTATCAATTAGTATGAAGTATGAACAATACATATCATATCGATTTTGAATAATAGTCAATACAACATTTTTGAAATTTTGCATTTCGGTCCAATACACAAACTTTTGCAACACGCGTATAAGAGGAATAGCTTAGTTATTATCATGAAGTGAAATCTTTCTCGTTAATGTCCGTCCGATTGAATTGTATTGTCATTAAAATAAAATTAACTAGTTAATTAAACAAGTTTTAGGCACCTCATTTGACAACCATAACAAAATATAAGACAATTATCACGTGAAAGCAACACATGTTTCATCCACTTCATTTAATAATTACTTTAGAATAGAGATTAATTATATTCACTTGGACAAATTTAATTTATTATACAATATAATAGTCTGCATGCGTGCTTCAAAGTTCAGATAAATCATGGACTTCTTAATTAACCATGGCTGAACCGTAACTCTTATATTATATTAATGGTATTGTTGTATTAAACTAGTAATCAACATGTGTATTTGCACATAGACGAATACTTTACAAAGATAAAAATATAAAAAAAAAAAAAATCATAATTTATTTCATGAAAAAAATATGAATTAAGAAAATAATTCTCAAAATTAATTTTGATCAAGTAATTGTTATGGAAGATCCGTTATAACCATTTTCTTTATGCTAATACACCCGACCATTTTCATGAGCGGGTGTGACTTAAAATTTGAGTACAATTTTGTAACTCTCTTGATTGGTTTATGCTCATAATTTATGGCATTCAAGCAAGTTATTTTGTAACTTAAAAATGAAATTGAATGCTGAAAATTTTGGAGAGAGAATAAAATTTAATACATGAGAATAAAATTTAATGCATGGTAATAAAATTAAATGCTTTGCTGCTCCTATATATATATTGATGTCTTGAACGAATAATTACTCAAGGCCCATATAGTTTCTTCATTTACATTATAAGATCGAAAATATTTATTGCAATATTTTTATGATGGCATATCATATCAGAATTTCCAAAATTCGATTTATTTTTCTTTGTTATTACATAAAATGAAAAACTACAACAAATTGTGCCAAATAACTTTACATAAAAATTTAGACAAAGGGTTTGAGTGTACAAATATTACCATTTTGTTAATTCAATTTTGTTGTTTTCGAAAATTCATTCATATTAATATATGCGTTATTGAGGATTCGCCCTTCGTCTGCATCATCCTCATTAAACATTTGAAATGATAAAAAGTTCAAGGACAATTTAGTAATTTAGTAGTTATACGAGTCACAAGAGAAAAATAACAAAGATAGGGACTTTTTTGTAAATCTACTGTTTGACACGTGTTGGCTTCAGAGGGACACTAAGTTTTTCTTATATGTAGAGTGATATATTACTATTATATAAATATAAACAAAGGCAGGCCAAGCTGGGGTGGGTCGGGCATGGGCAGGATTTAAGACTCAGACCTAGCTTGTTCAGTTAACAAGTCGGACCTGGTCCGACCCGTTCTGAAAATGTAGTAGATTTAACCTGTCCCAAATGCTTTGCGCCGAGCCACGTAAAGAAACTTTTTAAAATTATTTTATTAACACGAGATATTCGTTCAAACTCATTCGAGCTTGAAATAAAAAATTTAATTAATTAAATAAAAATAACTTCATATTTTAGATTTCTTTATAAAAAATTATATATATCAATATAAAAATAAAACAAAATTATACTAAATCAATGCTCATGAAGATTATTGAACGTTTGCGAACAAGCTCGTATTCGTTCAACTATTAAAGGAACCTAGAACTCAACTTTAACTCAACTTCACTATCTTCAATATTATCAGTATAATTAACTAATACAAATAATCATTCTTACACATTACATCAAATTTAATTTATTATTCATTCACTCGCATAATTTTAACTAACTTTCACTTCACATCATATATCTCCTACTTTTATATCAAAGTAATTTTAACTTTTATTTTAAATATTATTTTAATATGAAATCGAAATTTCACGAATAATTAACAATACCACATTTTTCAAAATTAACTCTGGTTAATAAAAAAAACTCATTTTGATTGAATATATTTGTATCGAAGCACGCCCTAAATAATTACGTTTTTATTAAGTGTTGTTATATGCTTAAAAATAACGACACAATTATATATGTGTCATAACGTAATTACACTTTGAGGTAAATATTGTCATATTAATAAAAATTTTGATATTATGTTAATACAATTTCCAAAATGTATCACCACATAACTAAACATGATGACACTTTTTTTTTATATAATTCTATAATTTAATTACAATTTTTAATTAATGCTCCAATATTTATTGATACGGTGACACTATTTAAAAAGTTAAATGATTTGATTACATTTTTAAAAAAACATTGTGTAATTTTATCTTTGTAACGCTTTTTAAAAAATGTTACAAACACATCAATTTTAATTAACTCATTAAAAAAGTCAATATATATGTTGCTAGAGCTCTTTTTGTTGTAGTCGACTAGTCATATACTTGTGGTAGTTACTAGTATCACAATATTATTAATGATTTATTATAATAAATTAATATCAAAGTTCATGGCCTTTTACTTTCTTCTTTAAAAAGAAAAAAGAAAATTTCAAAGTAAAAAATGCCCATTGGTCAGACTTCATTAAACGGTAGAGTGTGAACCACACCATTTCTTTTCATTATTCTATTGGTCTCAGTCCAACTTATGTACTTCTTTTGCATCTGTTGAATCCGCTTTCCCTATATAGTTAGTCTTGAGCAGGGATTTCGTGGCTGAGCAGTACCTTGATCGGGCTGCTGATCAGTATCATCTCTATTTCAATCTTTTGTATCGTAAATTGGAGATATATAAAAGAATCCTTCTGGGTTCGAAAGGTGTGTTCAGGGATGAATCGGCACAGGCACATGATATTCATCGCCTTTCTTCTTTAATTTCATTGCCTTTCTTTTTCACTCTTTTTAGGTTAGGGGGAGCCGCCGAATACACCAGCTACGCCTAGCATGGGTAATGGACCGGATGTTTTCTTAAGTGACTTCTTTTCTGCTCTTGTCTGAATGATTTTATTTTTCGAAGACCAATTCAGTCACTAAAATGTAATTTCTCCAAATTTCCTTAATAAAGTAGACTTAAGAGAAGTCAATGACGTTCACTTAACCAAGAATTGAATAATCCACACGGTTGCAGTAAAATGAATTCGAATTATATGTGGGGTATTAGAAAGTTGCAGTAAAATGGTGTATTAAAATAAGAATAATATTTTCAAAATGGATAGACCGTGTCATTAATTTTGTATGACAACAAAGAATTACCAAACTATTTAAAACACAGAATAGTGACCAAATATGAAAAAATCCTAACTAATACATATGACAATAGAACTGCCAAACTATTTAAAACACCAAATAGTGACCAAATATGAAAAAAAAGTGATCGGCAATGAAAATCTAATAATATACCAAACGTAAATTATGAATAAACATCAAATAAACACAACATATACTGTGGATATCGCAACAAGCCCGAGCTTCCATCACCGTCTGGCCTGACAAATTTGCCAGAGCCCTCCATCCATCCCTATCTGAACTCGTTCTGGAACTTTGCGCCCGACCAAGAAAACCTTCTCAGCCATTGCTTAGTACGAAGAAAGCATAAAAAGCAATCTTGAATTCAAGATTGGGAGTGATCTGCAGAGTCAATTTGTTTTACATTTGATAACTGTTCCGAATTAATTTGCAAGAGCATAAGATAAGGTCTTGTGCGTTTGCAATTGAAATGACAATTTTTGGTACATTTGCTAAGGTCTTTATTGACACGTAGGATTGCGAAAAAAAAAAAAAAATGGCTGTGTGGTTGTATGGGGAGTAACTTCCTCTTTATAATGATGTTTTAAGCCATCACCATGATAAATCCTGCTTCCAAAATTCCTAGTTTTCTTAGCTTGCCTTCACCTTCAAAAGGTTCTCTCTCTCTCTCTCTGTCTCTCCCTCTCCAACCACTCGTTTATGTGCTGTTATTTATGTATAACCATTACATCTATTTCTTTTACCTCTCTCTATACTTTCACGCGATTCAGTATCTCAAGTGTTCGAGGAAATGCCTGAGAGACTGAGTACATAATTTTGTTCCATTCGTGAAAGTTTCTATTTTCTTTTCTGTCTATTAAATGCAAGCCATAATGTTGACTGTGACTGATTGAGAGAGCTAATGCAGATGAAATACATGAAGCCCATGAAATTGTACCATGAATTGTTGAAATCAAATGAGCTCAAAAGAAGCAGTTTGCTCGGTTTGGATGTCGGTGATAAATACGTGGGCCTCTCTGTTTCCGATGCTAATAACAAAATCGCTTCGCCTTTAAGGTTTACGAGGCCGCTGTTCTATCTGTTTCCACAAAATGCAGTACTTATCCATAGATGTTTGCAAATTTCTGTATGCTGAGTTATTTCATTTGGGTTTTTAATAATTTGAAGCGTCCTGGTTCGGAACAAGAACAATATTGACTTGATAGCTAGTGACTTCAAAAGTTTGGTGAGTATTTTGCTCATCTTTTTTTATCTTTATGGTCTCTCTCTTGGAATTTTTTATGTGAAAATTTGCATGATCCGACGAGTATTTTTGTAAGAGTAGCATGCTAGCAGATTAACTTTGATGAAGTTGGTTTTGCTACTTTGGGGTGCATGTCTTGTTGTCATTATCTAGTCTAACAATTTTACACTCACACCATGTACCCAAAACGCAAAATTTTATACAATGCATATTACTAAACAATAATTCTGATTGTATTTATATTCTTCTGACAACGGTTTGGTGTTTCAGTTTATTCTTACATATTGAAATAATTTACACAATGGTTGGAAAATGTTTTTGTGTGTTCATGCAGATCTCCAAGCTATCGCTGTCGGGTTTAGTGGTTGGCTACCCTTTTGACAGGCAGAGGAGCAGCCCGGATGTGTGTTAACGTCTCATTCGTATCATTTATTTTTTTTTTTTTAATTTTTTCAAAATAGTTTCAGTCACTTAAACAATTTTGTTTATTCTGAGTTTCCAATATCGCATGTTGTTTCTCAGGCTGTGCAAGTGAAGATTTTCATTGATGGCCTAACAAAAACAGGGAAATTTGGCAATTTGAAGTATACCTTTTGGGATGAGTGCTTCACATCAAAGGTGAAAGCTGCAATTTTCTGTCTCCGTTTGTAATAATGTTATGAGTTAAATATGATTTACGACAATATGATACTTCAGTTTTGTACTAAAAGTGCTAGCTTTGAGAATTTGTAACATTTTAAAATAGGATGACCAAAAAAGTTTACCTTGATTTCATGCACTTCAGCTGAGGACAATTATACTCATTCTACTACCTGTTGAATAACTGATTGCACTTTTTATTTCTAGTCCCAATGCAGTGGATTTCTATGCATTAAAGACTACATTCAAGGTGGTAGTTCAGCATCAGGAGATTTTATCTTGTTGTTTAATTTGTCATTCATGTCTAGTAAAACATTGGTTATTTCTTTTTAGCCCCATAATCTATAAATCACAGAATTTGTAGTTTTGTAATAGCCAATAGGTGAAGTTTCTAATGGTGTTGTTATGGAGTGTTCCAGAATGTCGAATTTCTCTTGAAGCCTCTCTCGTTGCATCCAGTGCAATTTAAGACAATTTTGGACAAATTTGCTGCGGTTGGAATCCTTCAGGTATCATGGCATTCTTCTTGTTTTGTTTCTGTTCTTTTTTATCTTAGGAGTAGAAGGACCGCTTTATTCTCAAAGCAAATGCACCACTTCTTTACTTTTTGGCATGAGCTATAACCAGATTATGAGATGCAATAAGTGGCATTATTAGTTGGCTTTCTTAGAGTAACTATTGGTTTCTCATATTTGGAAACAAATGGAATAGCAACTTCCGATTTAAGATATTTGAATTTTTATTTTTCTTTATTATGTCCAACATAGGAAGTTCATGTCGGCTAATGACGTTTTTGGCTCGGCAGGGGTACCTAGATTTTGTTAACCGGAGTCTAGATCAAGAAGCTGAAATCTTCCAAAATGAAAACTATGCGGAGTCTGTCAACGATGATTGGTGCAATTCAGAAAATTAGTTTTCCTTTGTAAACACTAGCAATTAAGTTTAAAACGTGTATCTATAAAGATCAATTCCTAAGAGTATGTTCTCAAGGTTCCAGGTAAGCTAGTCACATAGGTTAAATGCATTTAAATAGCTAAGAATGATGACAAGCGTGTAAGAAAATTAGATATCCAAACTTTAAGGCTGTTTCGGTCCGAGCAGCAGTTGATTAAGATCATAAGAGTCTATTCGTGAAGGTTGAAGCATGTGACTGCTGGATAACGCAGCCCAATTATCTTTATTACTTATTTAATTAGATTAGTTAATTTATGTTGGTATATATATAATTGTGGCTGAGACCTTTTATTAGGTGTGTAGTTTGTCGATAGAAAAATCAAATATAGTTTTAGTATATACAATGTAGTTCCACTCTTGATTTCTTTCGTCGTGGGTGTTTGAGAGTATCATATTATTTTTTTCAAATGGAATTTTGCTTTCTCTTTTTCTTGTTCATGACATGACAATTCCTACTTCATAGTATTAAATAAAGACAGAGCGCGCGAGCTTCCGACATGTTGGAATGTTCTAGATAAGGATGTATAAATACAATTTTCTCCATTGTGTTGCCTCGAATGTTCTAGATAAAGATGTATAGATACAATTTTAATTTTCTCCATTGTGTTGCCTTGGAGGCAACACAATGGATATTATTCATTTTATGTTATTTCTTTAAAATATATTATTCAATCACCTTACATATTAAAAAAAATGCAGTAGATATTGAGGCCTTCAAAAGTTTGAACTTTGAACAAAAAGAAATGTAGACATGAAGAAAAAGAATGCATGCAGAAAGAAGAAAAAGAATTAAATGGTAATAAATGCAGACATGAAGAAAAAGAATAAATATTAAAAAAAAAAAGCAATTAATCAATACGATACATAACTATGTGAATCATATGCGGAATATGTTTGCATATTGATATATTATACGAGGTTGATATGGATATGTTCTTTATGTGAAAAATCAAACAATCACAGTGGTGCGTAAATTATACGAATAATATGTGAAACATTTTCGACGGATATGTGAATCGTGATATAGATCGACCAAAAAATGGCGGATAGTCCTGAATTATGCGACTTTCGATTTGGATGTGCGAACATATTATGCATAATCGTTAATTATACGGCGTTATAGATTTGAATACGTGAGTAGTAAACTATATGAAAAAATGCCAGGTAACCATAAAATACGCGATTTTCGATGTGGATATGCTATAGTTTAATATGAGAAACTTTCTCGAATATGGTCAATTATGTAGTGTATTTGTATGGGAGATTACATAATATGCGAAGGTGTTTCTCATAATTATTAACTATGCGTTCAATTTGGTTATGCAAATTCTAAACTATGCGAAAACATGTTGCATAATAGGAAAACCATGCGGCGATCAGTTTGGATATCTGATAACTACATATGCGAAATAAATTCACATATAATAAATTATGCGGTGAATTTGAATATGTGATTACAACATATCCAAAAGTGTTTCGCATAATATGCGTTAGTATATATGCGACTTATAACTATTCATTGGGATATACGATTATTATATTGCATATCAATTCGTGAGTTTTGAGGTAAAAAAAGAAATTTTTTGATGGAATAGTGAGTAAAAAAAAAACTTCTATATAATGGGTGTAAAAGATGTCCGCCCTTAATATTTCACACTAGTACTAAACCCTGAATCCACGATACAAACTACAAACACTTTTTTTTTCTATTTTGGCGAATAAACTTCAAACACCTAAGGGTGTGCATATCAAAAAACTCAATCCATATTCAAAATCTAACTCAACTTTAACTCAATTCCACTATCCTTAATATTGTCAATATAATTAAATAATACCAACAATCATTCTTACATATCACATCAACTTTAATTTACTATTCATCCACTAATATAATTTTAATTAACCATCAGTTCGTATCATTTTTTCCTACTTGTACATCAAATCTTTAATTATTTAATTTTAAATATTTTTTTAATATAAAATCAAATTCCACTAACAATTAACTATACTATTTTTTTCAAAATTAATTTTAGTTATTAAAAAAATTCATTTTGAACAGATATATTTTTATCAAGCACACCCTAAATGTAACTATGTGAAAAAAACTTGATGCAAGGAATCTGGTCAATGACCAAAGAGTTGGTAAAATTATAAATTAATTGAATAGGGTATACCTCACACTGAAAACACACATGGAGATTAAGCAGTGTACAAATACAAACTATTTTAGTGTTGTTGTGACAAGGACGTGGTGGTGGTACTTATAGTGCACCCAACTGTACCACATTTGCCTTTTCAACATCAACCCTCCCTCACTAAACCAAACCCCTCTCAGGCCCCTGAACAAAAATTATTGCTTCGATTATATAAACAAGGAAAAATGATTCCTCCTCTTTAATTCAAAAGCTCAAATCTTTTTTCAATTTCATCCCACTTTTGTCTTTACCCTCCCTCCATCTTTCTCAAATCTCAAAACCCATTTCCTCCTCTCTTTATATTTTTACTCTGCTACAATCCAAATCTAGGGTTACAATTGTCGTCTTTTCTTTTACTTTTTCCTTTTTTCCTTTTTTGAAATTTCTTTTAATGTGCTTCAGTGTAGTTGGGAGCGTGTTGTTGTGAGTGAGCTGAAACTTGAGTTGTTGGATGGATATGGGTTCTTCACACTCACCGAATAAGCTTTGATTGTATGCTTCATTGTGCCACAATTCAATCTTTCTTGAATTTTTTGCCGTTATTTTGTCAGGTGAGACTGATGATAACTCTAATTCACTTGATCCTTTACTTCCCCCTCCCAATTGCGGAAAACCCATGTTAAACCCTTACTAAAAAATTCAGCATTTCCGGTTCTTGTGTTCTAATTTTCTACGTTGTTCTGTTCAATTTTGTTTCTTTACTGCGCTAGTTTAAGATTTACGGATTTAGGATAAGAAAAAAAAAAAAAAAATCTTTACTCGAACTACTTAGGAAAAAATTACGATCTTTACCTTGCATTTGACACAGTAAATGCATGGATGGAAGAGAAGGTATGGCATATCCAGGTTCAGCTGCATATTATCTCAACAGAGGTGCTGGGCCCGGAAATCCAGTGCCGGGCCCTAATATCCATGGAGGGCCTAGTAGAGGCCCTCAACCAGCCGGCATACACACACATGGACCGCCGGTTTTCAAGAACCTCTCAAATCCCAACATTTCAGTTCAGCCCAATGTAGGGGCCAGCGGTGGTGGTGGTTCCGCAAGTGGGGGCCCGTCCTTCCATATGGAGAACCAGTCTGCAAATTTCTCCCATGGAAAGAGTATGACCATTGTGTCAGGGCCACAGGAGGGTGAGCTCGTGAAGAAAAAGAGGGGTAGGCCGAGGAAATATGGGCCTGATGGGGCTAATATGTCTTTGGGTTTGTCCCCACTTTCCGGTTCCAAGAATTCATCTGCGGGGATGAGCTCGGGCGAAAAGAAACCGAAAGGGAGGCCACGTGGAACGGGATGGAAACAGAAGCTTGCTCCTCTTGGTAAATTCTTGGTTCATTTTTTTTTAATTATTATTATATTTATTTTTCGATTGTGTGGTGTTTGAAGTGGTGGTTTCTGTTGACAGCCTTTGGGCACAATCTTGATTTTTAGTTCCAAGTCACTTGTTGAAGCTCCTGAACAATGTGTTAGGCATAGACAGGAAGATTGTATGGTTTGCCCTCTAGCTTGTAGTCCCTCGGGATTTTTCGTGTTTTCTGTCTTGTTACTTCATTATAGAGCAGGATTTTCCTTTCATTATTGAAATCTGTGAACTAGGTGCAAATGTTGGTATTGTTTTTTCCGAAGTCTTGATGTTCTGTAATTTATATGGTTTTGTTTATTGTTGAATGCCTGATAGACGATAAAAGGAATTGGGGAAATCCACTCTGTGTATTTTTTCCTCCGTTGGGTCTGGATTTGAAAACTCTTTTAGTATAATGACATATTTGTATGCATGTGTCTATATTTGTTGTGCATATAATTTTTGTGCAATATGTTAACATTGATGTGCTTAAAGTGGTCTTTTATTTGATCAGGTGAGTGGATGAATAGCTCAGCTGGACTTGCTTTTACACCGCATGTCCTGCGAGTTGCAGTTGGAGAGGTTTGTCTCTTAACATATTTATGTGATCTTCTTTGGAATTACTTTAGGTGCAATTAGATGTATTTTCATTTCAGAAGTTCACTGATGAATTTCTTTTGTCTTTTGAATGAAGAATGAAGTTTTTTAGCTTATTAAGGATATGTGATTGAAATATAATGATTAAAGTTGACTACTTGATTTCATATAATAATGTTAGTTAATTGTTATTGAGATCTATATGGTTGCCTAAGTGGGTGAATAATAGAATTTATGAAAGGTATGTCATAATAATTGGTTATTGAATAATTTTCCTTTCCAAAAGAATTAGTGACGTGTCTGGTGGGCGAAATAAATGTAAAATTGTGTGATAATCTGCTGAAATATTTTCTTTTCCAAAAATTTAGTGATTGGACATAAAAGAATTATCAGAAAACTGAGTCTAGCCGAGATAAAAAGGTGGGAAAATATTTTGGAAGGGTGAATATTTTTTATTTTTTATTTTTTGATTGAGAATGGGTATATGATAAAAATGTAATGATCAATGTTGATGTGATATAAAAAGTCAATATGTTGATTATTAGTTAGAAACATGCGAGTGGAGAATAGTGGTTTTGGTTGGAAAAATATGTAGTTAAGATTGATATATTTTTAATTTGTGTTGTTGAAATTGAGGAAAAAAATCAAGATAGAAGAAATGACGTGTCTTTTAAAAATGTTTTGTATCCAATCACCATCTCAATGAAAAAAAATAAATTGTCGGACCAGATGAAGCTTGAAATTTTCCATATCCAATTGCTACCTAAAAGTTTCAACCAGGGATAAATTCTCCAAATATATTGATATCAAATCTCCCCATTTGGTTTCTGCATTGATGAACTTTCTTTAGTTGCAGACCTGATACTGAATTAAGATAATTTTGATGTTAAAATAGTTATTTTGCTTGATAAGATAAACTCTTGGTGTTTGCACATGGGCTCTCATGCTGCATATTTCTGTGCTCCTACACTTTTAGTTCATTTTTTTTAGACTAACTGTGCTCGTTTTGTGGCAGGATATTGCTGCAAAAGTGCTGGCATTTGCACAACAGAGGGCAAGAGCTTTATGTATTATGTCGGGTAATGGTTCAGTTTCTGCACTAACGTTACGCCAACCTTCCACATCTGGGGCCACCGTCACTTATGAGGTTACAGATCTTTCAATGATAGTTTTCCTCAAGTAACCGTATTTGGAAATTCTAGCCTTTTCTTTATCGACTCTAGGCAGATCTAACAGTTTCTTGAGTGGAAGCTGAGATGTTGTTTGCAGATGCTATGATCTCTTTATAGAAGACATAACTGTGTTTGCAGAAAGGAAAAAAAATAATTAATGTCATAGCTCATTGTCTGATATGATTTAAAACCATGGGTCGATTATTTTTCGCCAAAATGTGATTTTCACGATTTACCTTTTGGTCATAAACCATTATTGAATATTGCAGAGTGCCTGTTGTGGTTCTGTGGTTGAAAATAGTCTTGAACTTCACCTATAATATATAGGTTTTTAGATTTCATAATATATCATTTTGCTGATATCTATGGTGAACTTCTATAAAGATACGGTATTTTAAGGAAATTCATGACATTGATCACCGTATAATTATGAATATAATATGCTGAAGAAAAATGAAAATCCAAGGAAGCTATATTAGTTCTTTGTAATCTTTCATCGTTCCACATTCAGTGTTTTTGCTCCCTTTTCTGCTCAAACTTGGAAGTTTGGAGCTGCAACTCTCTTACTCCTCTCTCTGCGAGTGTGTGTTCAGTCATAGATGTGTTTCCTTAAACTTTTTTTTCATACGGCTGCCAAGCATGGGTTCTGTTTGGACCATCTTACAATTTAAAAATTATTGAAGGACCTTATGTTAGATTGTTATTTTCTATTTAGGGTTGTTTCGAGATACTTTGCTTGTCGGGTTCTTACTTGGTAGCTGAAAATGGTGGTCCCAACAATCGGACGGGTGGTATAAGCATTTCTGTTTGTAGTCCAGATGGCCATATTATCGGTGGTGCAATTGGTGGTAGGCTTACCGCAGCTAGCCCAGTGCAGGTATATATTTCATTTTCCAACACTAATTAATTCCTCCTTTTTTTTCCTCTGTTAATGTAATTATATTACCGACAGGCTTCTAGTTTGTCTTTACAATTTACATAGTACAAAAAAAGGTTATGACTTGTACACGAACACTTTGAACTCATTCAACTTTTTATCTTCTGTTACCAAAACACCAACAAGCTTTAGATTAATACTCCTCGGTTAACTACTAGGAAGATGTTTTTTATTTATGAGTTTGCGTCACAAATTTCAATGCAATGCTTTGTCTGTAGGTGGTTGCATGCAGCTTTGTGTACAGCAATACTAAACCTAAGCCCAGTTCTGACCAGGGAACACGAGATGAAAAACATACGTTCGATCAATCTAGCGAAAAACCGTCCCCAATCTCGGGACCTTCTGGTCGGATTTACACTCCGAATTCTGGATCAAGTGCTTGGCCACCGGCTTCACGGCCAGAAGTGAAAAATTCCCAGACGGATATCGACTTAATGCGCGGATGATTCAAATTATGCAACATGCAACATGCGCGGATGGTTGGTTTTTTT